TTTCTAGTTTACCTAAGTCATTTGCCATTTGGCTTATCCCTCCTGGAACATCAACCCCGTTACATATTTTAGTATCATCAGCAAAAAGACATACCTTACCATCAAGACCTTCTGCAATATCAATAAAAAAAATATTAAAGAGAATGGGTCCAAGTACAGATCCCTGAGGTACCCCACTGGTGACAAGTCCAAGATTTGAATATATTCCATTGACTACAACCCTCTGTTGCCTGTCACTCAGCCACTGCCTTACCCATTCAACAATATTGGAATCCAAACTTAAAGATTGCAGTTTATTGATAAGCCTTCTGTGTGCAACAGTGTCAAAAGCCTTACTGAAATCTAGGTAAGCAATGTCTACTGCACCGCCCTGATCTATAATTTTAGTTACCCAATCAAAAAAATCAATAAGATTAGTTTGGCATGATCTCCCTGAAGTAAACCCATGTTGTCTCTGATCTTGAAATCCATGTGTTTTTAGATGTTCATCAATCCTATCCTTCAACATGGTTTCCATCACTTTCCCCACTACTGACGTAAGGCTTATTGGCCTATAGTTGCCCGACTCCTCCTTATTACCTTTCTTGTAAATGGGCACAACATTCGCTAACTTCCAATCTTCTGGGACTACTCCTGTTAACAATGATTGGTTAAATAAATCTGTTAATGGTTTTGCTAGTACACCACTAAGCTCTTTTAATAGCTTTGGGTGTATTCCATCAGGTCCCATTGACTTATTTGTCTTTACTTTTGACAGTTGAAATAGAACCTCTTCCTCTGTAAACTCACGTGTAATAAATGACTCATTTATCCTTTTTCTCAACTGAGGTCCTTTTCCTTCATTTTCATCTGTAAATACAGAACAAAAATATTCATTGAGGCAGTCAGCTAGACCTTTATCCTCTTCTACATACCTTCCTTCTTTTGTTTTTAATCTAACTAATCCTTGTTTTACTTTTCTTTTCTCATTTATGTATCTAAAAAATGTTTTATCCCCCTTTTTTACTGACTGTGCTATTTTCTCTTCTGTGTGTGATTTGGAAGCTCTTATAACTTGCTTAGCCTCTTTCTGCCTAATCTTATAGATCATTTTGTCTTCCTCACTCTGGGTTTTTTTATAATTCCTAAATGCTAACTTTTTGTTTTTAACTTTTTTGGCCACATCTGTGGAGTACCACAGTGATTTCTTGAATTTTTTGCTTTTACTGACAAGCCTAATGCAATTTTCTGTTGCCTTCAATAGTGCAACTTTTAAATAATCCCATTTTTCTTGGACTCCATTTAAATTGCTCCAGTCTGATAATGACTTCTCTACCCATATTCTAATTTTAGAAAAGTCTGTTTTTCTAAAGTCTAAAACTTTTGTTTTTGTGTGGTGTGACTCAGTCACTGTTCTTATATTAAACCACACTGACTGATGATCACTGGATCCTAAACTTTCACCTACAGTAATATCTGATACCAAATCTCCATTTGTTAACACTAAATCTAGTATGGCCTCTTTACGAGTTGGCTCCTCAACAACTTGTTTTAGAGACAATCCCAGTAGGGAGTTTAGAATATGTGTGCTCCTGGCACAAGTAGCTAATTTTGTTTTCCAATTTACATCAGGAAGATTAAAGTCACCCATGATGATAACTTCCCCCTTCATTGTCATTTTAGCTATTTCCTCAACTAGTAGATTATCTAACACTTCAATTTGTCCTGGGGGCCTATAAATCACACCTACACGAGTTACTGTGTGATTACCAAATTCTAACGTAGCCCAAACGGACTCTATGTTTGCCTCACTAACTTTTATTAGGCTAGATTTTATGCTATCCTTCACATACAAGGCCACCCCTCCCTCTTTCTTGCCTTCCCTATCTTTCCTATATAAAGAGTACCCTGGTATTGCTATGTCCCAGTCATTTTTCTCATTATACCATGTCTCAGTAACAGCGACTAAATCTACACTATTAGTTGCCATTATTGCCACAAGTTCATGGATCTTATTCCCTAAACTGCGAGCATTTGTAGACATGACTCTAAGCTTATCATTTTTTAACACACTTGCTACAGGCACCTTCTGTCCTTGTTTTGGGGGACAATTGGATTGATGTTTTATCACCCTTTTGCCCCCCCCTCCTAGTTTAAATACATCCTAGCAAAACCTCTGAACTGCTCACTGAGAACATTTGTTCCCTTTTGAGAAAGATGCAAACCATCTTTTTTTGTACAGCTTAGCTCCATTCCAAACAGAGCTACCATGAGAAATAAAGTCAAATCCTTGCTCCCGACACCATTCACCAAGCCACAAATTAAAGTCCCTAATACACATCCGCCTGTCGTTCTGAGTGTTATGCACAGGCACAACTTCAGAGAATGACAGTGGAAGCAACCTGCCGTATATCATTGGCAAAAACACAAAAAACTTCCTTAACCTCTGAAACCTCATTGCAAGCCAAGTCATTTGTCCCTAGATGGACAAGTACATCCAATTCCCCTTCCTGCTTTGCTTGCTTAACAATATTACAGATACTTCTCCTGTCTCTGTGAGCAGTAGCTCTGGGAAGACACCTCACAAGACCACCATTGTCCATCTCCACACCTCTTATAATGGAATCCCCCAACAACAACTGCTTTCTATTAGGCCTCACCATAGTCTCCAAGCCGAGAGTTTCAGCAAACTTGTATCATGCAGCTATGATAGAGACAGATAGTCTATATGAATCATCAACCCCACGTCTATGTCTGTTAGTTAATAAAGACTGGAAAGGCTTGTTTCCAAAATCTAAAGAAGTCGTCTAGACTGTACCCTTTGACAACCTCTTCTGATATCCATTGTGAAATCAGATAGCTCATTACACACCAATCCTCTCCTATATATATTAAATAGAAAATATTTTTAAAAGGAATTTTTTACAACTCCAGCCTCTATTACTTTGGCTCACTCATATAAACTAACTTCTCTCAAGAGTTATAAATATTTGTAAATCAAAAATCAAGGGGATTTAGCCAAGTTTTAATCCATATTGTACAACCATTTTTTCACACTAAGTAGTAGAATGGTTTCAGAGCTTGCGTTGCGTTATTACATGTGCCAGTTTATATAAAACAAATGGTCAAGTGCCGGGCATATATTGTTAAATTTATATATAATTTATTTTATTTATAAAATATTTTACCAGAAAGGATACATTGAGCTTTATATATATATTGTATATTTTATTATTATTTATCATATTACATTGTACCCAGTTCCATTATAACAATACAGTGTTTGTGAGCAGGACATATCATTGTATCCTTCTAAATAAATAAAATATACACTGGTGAGATAGGATTAGGCAGCAAAACAACCCATCTTTGGGTGTCTCGTCTGGTAGGTAGAAATGTACTTGAGGAAGAGGAGGGAGTTGTGAATTAAACATCGTTATATGCAGCAATATGAAACAACAAGATTGGGAGAAAGGTGGAAGCGGATAGTACAGTATATTGAAATATATACTAAAGAATGTCTCTAGGATATTATCATTGGTCAATGTGTGTGTATATATTATAGAGTGTACAATGTATGGGTCGGTGAGTGTATTATTATGTGAGTGTGTGCGTCAAAATACTCAGTGTGTGTGTATTGGTCTTTGTGTTTCAGAGTATGCAGTTTGTGTGTCAGTAAATGTAGGATGACACGCTCAGTGAAGAATTGTTTTCACCATTCACCCTCATCCTAAACCCATCCCCTGTCAGTGTTCCATGTCCCTCTGCTATGGGCCTCTTGTCAGTGTCCTTATGACTGAAACCCCTGGCAGGAGTATGGTAAAATCCCTTGGCATGTTGGGCCCCAGCTGATGAAGTATAAAGTAGATGCCAAGAGGCAAGGCAATATCTGCTGTACTGACTTTGGTGTTGGAAACAAGTAAATACACTGGTTCGTGGAGTCTGAACAATCTGCCACAGATATAGTAGCCCCAACCAGGGTCTTGGTTTCCATCCACTGTCTGCTGGTCAGCTACAGGCTGCTCCCTCCAATAGGACACAGAGCATTTATAGAGGGCCTTGTACTTTAGGTAACATCTGAATACAGCGATAGACCTCCAGCTAGTAGACAGAGAGGCTTGGTGATATTGCTTATTGACCCTTGACAACTTTTACTGAGCAAAGAGTCTTTCATTGGGTGCCTGGGTTTACAACCTTGCCCTCAGACTACTTTATTTTTCACCCTCTGAGTGCCATATGATCATTGCACTGGCTGTTCTATGCCATGCTGAAAATACACACTCTACATTTTTTGATAAGTGTGTATAAATCACTATATTGTAAGAGCCTGTCTCCATCAAATAAATTATTTTTTGCCTGTGCTCTACTCCTGTAAGTTGGCAATTGCACACATTGTGAAACATTGTGGAACATTTTTTAGACTAATTTTGTTGACACATTGTTTCATGCTGGTAACAGCATTTGATTGAAGAGAGTGGTGTTTTGCCGTACATACCTTTTTATCCCCAATGCATCTCTACGAGAAGCATTGGCTTAGATATGTTTGCAGGTGTTTTTGGCAGGTATGCTGACATCAACAGAGATGGAACAGTAGGCTACAGCAGAGGAGTCTCAGAGCTGGAAATAATGTAAATAATCCTTAACTTTACTTCGTTTTACAGAGGAAATGGGTAGACAGTGATCACATTGATAGAAGGAAACCTATAGTTCTGAAAAAATAATTGTTATATTGGTACTAAAGGTTCCCTTAACTAGATACCTTTTTTCACTCTACTTTCCTCACATGGTGACTTTATTGTTCATATTGGTGTATTGTTTGTTTGGATTCCATTCTTACTGAGTTATTTTTGTATTTATGACATCATGATGACTGGTTCAATAAGCATCCTTTTCATTAATTCACTCCTTTAAATTTCCTGGTTATATTTAAACTCTTTGCACTGTAGTCAATTTGACTTTCCTTTGCTACTGTGTATCTTCATGGCTGGATTTAGTTATATGGTAGTTGTTTTATCAAAGAGCAGGGCATTTGTGTGTTTGTATATATATATATATATATATATATATATATATATATATATATATACACACACACACACACACACACACACACACACATACACTCCACATAACATACAAGATCCTCTGTACTCATTCACTGTGCAGCAATTTCAAAACTCACATATTTTCATTTTTTTATTTTTTTTTTAAAAACACGTAACCTAGGCAAAAACAATCCGGGTCTAGTTGCAACATATGATCATACATTACTTAACTTGCCACAATGCCAACGCATCCCAATTTTTTGCAGCAGATGGTTCACGTCTGTTTGATGACGTCTTTCCAGCATTTTCCGATCACCTGATCGGGTTCAGTCTGATGATTCACGTCTCTGTTTGATGATGTTTTTTTGGCATTCTCCGATCATCTGATTGGGTTCAGTCTGATTCTTCAACAGGCACATGCTTTAAATAAGTCTTATAAATATGATTGTATTTTGTGTGGTTTGAATGACACACACAAGGTGATTGGAGCACCTTTCTTCATTTTTATCCTTTTACTCTATTATTTATATACGAATTATATGCTCAAAGCCTATATACTTATTATATTTGTTAAATTATATAGAAGCAAAATATTCTGAGTATAGATAATTATTTTAAACAAAAGGGGTATTTGCTTTTGAAAATGTATTCGAATTGCAGTGTTTATGGGAAAAGTACAGTGACCAGAGACTACCAAATAGCAGGGATATTGATATACTTGTTCTGAACAGATCTATCTTGCACTTTAAAGGGCTGGTTTTTTATAAGTTCTAGTTGAATGAATGCCCAAAATAACTTCATAATGGTCTTGATTTTTTGCTATATGAAATACTCCTCAAAAGAGATTTTTGATTTGCAGATTTTTTGCTCCTCAAGGGCAATTTTACTCTTAACATCTGTTTCATTATTTAAAAATATCTTGAAATACCATCTCGATTCCTAATTGGCCACATTTTATAAAGCAGAATATGAGAATGTCATCTTATGTTATGTTTCTTTTTATTTTAAGCGGTAGTGCAAATACTTCCCTGAACTTTCCATGAACTCTTCGTTAAAAAGACTATTCACAGCTTTTCCTATTTACAGTCATTCACATTTTCCTTTAACACTCTTCTTGTTACACATTTTCATTTTTGCTTTGTTTTTCAGTTTTAAAGATAGAGTGTGAAGCCTGAAATTATGTTTTTATTTTCTCGTTATTACAGTAGTTTGAATTATTTAAACTTGCTGGTTTATGAAAAGAGATTTTGATTAATTATTTTATTTCATTAGTAAATCTGACAAATAGGGAAACTGTGTAAGAGCGGAGAGCGAAAACAAGACTAGAATTAAAATAAATATATGAGTTCAAGGCACAGTAACGGTGCATAGATAGTAAAGAGATTAATATTAGAATAGAAGGAACTTTGTGTTTACCATTTGTTTTGTTATGAAGTTTAAAAAGATTGGATGTAATAAAATTTATATCTGGCAAGGCAAATGAGTCTTGCAGATCGTTAGAGAGAATTGGTTACTATAGCATTCCCCTACTAATTTGACTTGTGCATTTGGTTTCAGTCAAATTTCAATTTGCCTGAATTTAGGTTGATCAGATGTTCAGCTGATTTCTGTATCTATGAAGTGCTACATGGACATATTATTATTACTAGCTTTTATATCGTGGCAATATGTTCCATTGAAGAAAGGGGAGTTGGGTGAATATATATTTTTAGGTTTCTTGCCCAAGAACACTTACTGGAGAGCTGATCTGGCTGTGATTTGAACCATGGTTTTCCCAGTTCTACGGTAGTGATGTTACCACTGGTCTAACCGGAACCGAGCAAACAACTAGCATAATGACCAAACATGTTCGTTTGATTTGGTATTTGTTCGGACTATAGATTCAAAAAATAAGATGATTGATGGAAAAAAAAAATTATTGATTGCTAGGGGACAGGCACTAAATGTTGATTTTATTCATTGATCAAATGAGAAGTGACCAATAGAGAGAAAAAAAAAGAGAGAAGCCGTAAAAACATCTATATAAACAGATAAATATAAAAATATAGATTTATTTTGACTGCTCCTTCTCTTTTGTCCTATAAATTACTTTTTCTCGCTGTATCTGTCAACCGAATAGGGGGAATAAATATGCAAAGTGTGCTGCAAAACATATACATAATATTTTTTCTGTACGCTGATTGGCCAATTCTCTCACCTTTTTTTTGTCCTAAATATTTACCATGGATGCTATTCAGAGAAGATAAAATGTCAACTGAATCTGTGACAGAGCTCCTAAATGTCATATTTGGAAAAAGTGGTTCAGTTGAACCAAATTTTCTCCTGGGAAAATACTAAACAGTTTTTTTCCATGTTTCATAAATCTTTGGAATATTGTTTTTTTTCTTTTTTATGTAACCCCTTCAGCACAGTAAAATTGCTCCCAAGCCCCCTTCATTTACCAAGCCAATGCAGAAGACTCCTTATAACCACACCTAAAATGTTAAGACCATAAGACCTTACATGAGAGAGGAATCAGACACCCCTTATTTGATGCCATGACAGATCCATGTTGACAAATTATAATGCATCTAAAATAAGAAATAAGAAGTTATAAATTGAACTTTTCAAAAGTGCACATTGATACCTGCTATTAGTGTTTTGGCTCCATATGGCTGTACAACTGTATGCTACAAGTTCAGTGATCAGGTGGATCACTCCAAAAGTGAGATAGGAAGAGTTGAGGTGTGCTGCCTCCTCTGAGAATATGCCCACAATACATATTAAAATAGGGAGTGTATGAAAAATGGTAAAGACATAAAGTTTGAAAATAGGGGCAGACACAAATCGGGGTTGTCAATTTTCCTCTGCTGTCTGTTATATTTCCTTTCATTTCGTTTTTGTTTGTTTGTTTTTTTTTATATTTTTTTTTAGCTATTAAAGAATAGATTTTTCTTCAGTCTCAACAAAATGGTTGCATTCAGTGAGGGAAAGTTAAACCATTTTCTCTAGTGAATGTGACCAAGGATTTAAAATGTTGTTTCTTTGTCGTAGCTGTGCTTGAGGATCTATTGGCTTATCTAAGAAGAGATTAAAGACAAATAATTAGTTTGAGTTATATTATACTGTGAATAATAAGGAAATGTATGTAAGTCGCTCTTATCAAAACAGCTACTTGTCCTTCTTGTTCATCTTTAATACTGTCCATTTGTCAGGCAGTCTCGTAAAGTTTTAAGAAAGTTAGCCCAACATCTCTAAAAAGCTTAGATTAGATAGAGTGATGTGAGATGTTCTTTTCCAAAAGATCCTGATTCCTTCATGGACAAGGACCTCACCTCCCTTACCCTGCTTTTGAACGGGAAGAGACAAGAGCAAATAATTGATGCTGTAAATACATTTTCAGGAAGTCCCTGAGGAAGAATCTTTCAACAGAAGAAAATTGTGAATTTATGTATAAGAAGAATCATGTTAACAGAAGAGTGACGCGCCGGCAACACAAAATTACGAACAGATGAGTACAGAAGAGGGAACATATAAAAGGAGACTGTGGGGACTTGGAAATCAGCACTTGAAGAAGGCTGATCGCCGAAATGCGTTTGCTGTTATAGGTTTGAACTATTGTGTTTACATTTGAACTCTTGGTGACTTTCCATAGGAGTGAGTGGAACTCTGGCTTTTTTTGCCTATTTGTATTTTGATGCTGCGTTCCACCCCATAGCACTTTGAGAATTGTTTTAATTATATATCCAATAAATAACTTTTCAACTTATTCCAAGTCCTTTTATCTTTGTATACTCCTGGAACTGGAACCGCTAGCCTGTATTGGCACCCCTGAGCCTGCTATACAGAGCCTGGTACGGCTCTGGGAAATGTGAGTGGTAGTCCTAAGCAACACCATTATTCTTAGTTTTAAACAGTTCACACTATGTTGTGTTTTATTTTGTAGGTATAATCCTATTATATCTCAAAATATGGTAGTATTATTTTATGTATGATTACACACATTGGATTTTGCATGTAGACTGGTATATTTTGTACATTATTGAGTCTTTATATTTGGTGTCACTGGGAAGCACTTTTTTCAGTTACACTATCCATTCACACTATTTTTGTTTTAATATAAATTGTGAAGCGCCAACTTACTATTAGTTTATATTGCTTAACATCTTTAATCGTATTCAAGATGAATGGAATTAATACAAAAATTTAAAAAAGTAGTGGTTGTGCAAGTTAAACTCTTTTGCTATACTCAAATTTGCTTTCCCTGTTTCAGCTACCTGCTTGAGGAGAAGCAAAGGAAAGACATGACTTTAATTTGGTCAGAGCAATAGCAATAAACAAATAGACAATGACTTTCTGCAAGGAATCACCTTATCTCTTTATCCTGTGCCCTGTTAATGAAGATTCTCCTATATTTTTATGATTTGAGATATAATTTAGGAAAAGTATGCATTACCTTACATTTAGCTTATATTATTCAAGTTATCTATGATGGTAAAAAAAAAAAAATTCAATATATAACTTTAGTCATATTTAGTTTAACTATGATAACTATAATATTAGTATTTATAATGTAGGTCTACTTTTAGAAATCAGAAGCAAATATAACTTATTAAAAATAATTTCAACGTTTTTATAATAAAAATGTTTTCCAGTCAATTACAATGTGTTCCTATATTTTGATCATAATACATCACTCTAAATAGTGTTTATTTGTTAAAAATAATAAACTTTAAGTTTCCTTATATAAAACTATAGTATACTGCTCTAAACAGCACTATTCAACATATAAAGCACTTTCTGAATAATTTTTGTTATATGATTAAATAGAATGATTTTTAAATGACTCAGTTTTTTTTATTCAATTCTTTTTGCCCCGTTGCTTTTTTCATAAAGCATAAAATGCTAATCTTTTATGTATTAAAATAATATTTAAATATTAAAGTAAATTAGTTCACAATAAATTAATGTGCAATCCATCTGCTAGATGGAGGCTTAACAATAATTCATTTATTTCCTACTTTTCATTTAACTCCAAGAATATATTAGTTCCAGCTAAAAAAAATCATTACATAGTACTTCATCAATG